CATATACACCTTTACACACAAATATACACATATGTACACACAAATATGCATATAGACAAGCACACACATATACTCAATATACATATACACATGTAAACACAAATATATGCACGTCTACACACATACATACACACACACACACATACATACATGCAAACCACACATATACACAAGTGTATACACACACAAAACACATATGCACAGACTGGGCAACAGCAACGCGTGGCAGGGGACGGCTAGTCCGTCATATAATTGTGTGTGTCCATAGCATGTAACACAGGTATGTATGTATGTAATATGCAATTACATATGTGTCCGATACTATTTAATGTATGACATTATATATGCAATATATGTGTGTGTAATGTATGTGCCTAACACGTTCCACGAATACAATTCATTGTATTGAACTTTTAAGGACACTTAAACAGGAAGTGACGCTTCCCAATGTTGTCACAGAGTGTTCTCAAAGGCACCTGACCGGAAGGGGCGGGACCGCCCCCTGTAGGACCAATCCGCAGCCCAGAAGGATCCCAGCCGCGCCGGAAGTGAGGCGGCGGGCAGAGTTCCGCCCAGCAACGGTTTTTGTTTTGCGAGGACGCCCCGCCCACCAGGGAGCTCTCCGCCGCTGATTGGTGGAGAGCGCGGCGCGCGGGCTCGAGGAGGCGGGCGCAGGACTGCGATTGGTGCGCCCTACTGCCAGTCACGGGTCTCGTCAGAGGCGGCGCCGCGACTGAGAGGAACCAAGATGGCGGCCGCGGCAAGCGCGAACGGTGAGGGGAAACACAAACAGGCCAGGCTAGGCCCGAAGCCACCCGAGGACCCTCCCACGCAGCCTCCACCCAGCCCAGGGGAACAAGGCAGGGAAGCCCACCATCATCCCAGCCCGGGCGGCCTTCTCTTCCAGTTCAGAGCGGAAAGCGTGGGGTCCCGCTCCCCGCGTGGAAGGAGGCGCCTCGGGCTGCCTCTTCGTACGGGCCGGGGTGGCTTCAGAGGAGAACGAACGGGGGGACAATGGCTGGCACAGCCCCTCAAACTGTGGGAGGGCCCCAATATCATTTGGAGGAAAAAATATATGAATGAATTCCTAGGCACAGGTCTCATTGGTAGTGCAAAAAACCACTTGAAAACAATACAATAATTAAAATGAAGAACAATTACTATATCAAATATAAGCCTATTAGTATTTCAGTGGGAAGTGTGGGCCTGCTTTTGGCTGATGAGGTAGGATGTTGTTATTGTTGGGTTGTTGTAGGTTTAATCAGGCTCTCCTGACGTTTCGCCTGCATCTATGGCAAGCATCCTCAGAGGTAGAGATATTGACTCTAAGATGGAATGTGTCCAGAGGAGAGCGACTAAAATGATAAAAGGTCTGGAGAACAAGCCCTATGAGGAGCGGCTTAAAGAGCTGGGCATGTTTAGCCTGAAGAAGAGAAGGCTGAGAGGGGATATGATAGCCATGTATAAATATGTGAGAAGAAGCCACAGGGAGGAGGGAGCAAGCTTGTTTTCTGCTTCCCTGGAGACTAGGACGCAATGGAACAATGGCTTCAAACTACAAGAGAGGAGATTCCATCTGAACATGAGGAAGAACTTCCTGACTGGGAGAGCCGTTCAGCAGTGGAACTCTCTGCCCCGGAGTGTGGTGGAGGCTCCTTCTTTGGAAGCTTTTAAGCAGAGGCTGGATGGCCATCTGTCAGGGGTGATTTGAATGCAATATTCCTCCTTGGCACAATGGGGTTGGACTGGATAATGGCCCAGGTGGTCTCTTCCAACTCTAGGATTCTAGGATTCTAGTGAAGTCTGTTGGAAATTGGGTTTATATATCTCTGGAATGATGACCAAGGTGGGACAAAGGACTAGTCTGCTGGAGCTAGGTGTGAATGTTTCAAGTGACCACCTTGATTATTTATTTGTTTATTTATTTTATTTCGTATACTTCTACCCAGCCCTTCTCAACCCCCAAGGGGGGACTCAGGGCGGCTTACAAAATGGCATAATTTGGTGCCTACACAAATACAATAACATATAAAAACAGCAATTAAATGGTTAACAATTAAAACAACAATATATCTCACAGCCAATCTCAAGCACAGCATTTGCCAACTCGGAGTCCATACTTCGTTCCACATTGTCTTTTCCTATCCGTCGTCGTAGTCCTTTATTCATCTGCCAGATTGCCCAAACGCCTAGTCCCACATCCGTGTTTTTAATTTCTTTCTGAAGGAAAGGAAGGATGTTGCTGATCTAATTTCCCCGGGAAGTGAATTCCATAGGTGAGAGGCCACCACCGAGAAGGCCCTGCTCCTCGTCCCCACCAATCTCACTTGTGAAAGAGGCGGGGCCGAGAGCAGGACCTCCCCAGAGGATCTCAGACTCCGAGGTGGGACGTAGAGGGAGATGCGTTCGGACAGATACACTGGGCCGGAACCGTATAGAGTTTTGTAGGTCAAAACACTTTGAATTGTGCTCGGAACTGGATCGGCAGCCAGTGGAGCTGACACAACAGGGGGGTGGTATGCTCCCTGTATGATGCTCCAGTGAGCAATCTGGCTGCCGCCCGCTGGACTAATTGAAGTTTCTGAACAGTCTTCAAAGGCAACCCCACGTAGAGTGCGTTGCAGTAATCTATCCGGGATGTGTGGACCACTGATTAGCATTTGATGGCCTGGCAGTGCCTGGAGCAAACTTTTGTTGAGAGGTGATTAGATGTCCTTGTTTGTTTCTTCTCTGTTGTGCTGTTCTAATTTTAGAGTTTTTTAATACTGGTAGCCAGATTAAGGAGACAAATGAAATGCTACATAACAAGATTTTTAAAAGCCCAGGATTGTGTTTGCTAGGTTGACATAGAGAAAACAATTATCAAAAGAACCAAGAAATATACCAATATATTGTCGAAGGCTTTCATGGCCAGAATCACTGGGTTGTTGTAGGTTTTTTCGGGCTATATGGCCATATTCTAGAGGCATTCTCTCCTGACGTTTCACCTGCATCTATGGCAAGCCTCCTCAGAGGTGGTAAGGTCTGTTGGAACTAGGAAAAAGGGTTTATATATCTGTGGAATAATGTCCACAGTGGGACAAAGGACTCTTGTCTGCTGGAGCTAAGTGTGGATGTTTCAACTGACCATCTTGGTTAGCATATAATGGCCTGGCATTGTTGTTTTTGTGTGCTTTCAAGTTCTTTCAGACTTAGGCTGACCCTGAGCCAGGGCCAGGTAAATGGCCTTGAGGGCCCATATCCGGCCCTCGGACCTTAATTTGGACTTAGTTTCCCCGACTCTGGAATTCACTGCCTGGCGAAAAATGAATGAATTCCTAGGCACAGATCTTATTTGTAGTGCAAATGTGAGTAGATCAATAGGTACCGCTCCAGCAGGAAGGTAATGCCGCTCCATGCAGTCGTGCCAGCCACATGACCTTGGAGATGTCTATGGACAATGTCAACTATGAAAGCTGGACAATGGCCAGTGCGACCAAGTGTCATACAAAGTTTTCCTTTCCTTTTGTAAATTCCTGGTCGGTGGCAAGATCTGATCTGAGGACACTTTGGTACAGATTTGTAATTGGTTATGCAAGATGTCCCATTGTGTTGCTTTAGAGCGCCAGCCATTGTTTGTCTTTTCTTTCCCCTTGTCACTCCCTTTATCTTGTTCATGGCGTTCTCTGCTTCCTGGGCCTTTTTTTTAAAAAAAAGAAAACACCAAAGAGGAAGTCACAGGGAGGAGGTGGGAGCAAGCTTGTTTTCTGCGGCCCTGGAGACTAGGATGCAATGGAACAATGGCTTCAAACGACAAGAGAGGAGATTCCATCTGAACATGAGGAAGAACTTCCTGACTGTGAGAGCCGTTCAGCAGTGGAACTCTCTGCCCCGGAGTGTGGTGGAGGCGCCTTCTTTGGAAGGTTTTAAACCGCGGCTGGATGGCCATCTGTCAGGGGTGCTTTGAATGCAATATTCCTGCTTCTTGGCAGAATGGGGGTGGACTGGAGGATGGCCCAGGAGGTCTCTTACAACTCTAGGATTCTAGGATTCAAAGTTGGCCCCAAATAAGGTTGGGGAGGTATAAGCATGCACCCCTTTGGCAGCAGCAGCAAATTTAGTTTCACATAAATAAGTAAAATACATTTCCATATAATATATTGTTGGTTTTAAGAGACCCACTGCAGAGCTTGTTTGGCGCAGGTGGAGTAGTTCTAAATAAATAATAAGTGTTCCAAATAAATAATGAATAAATAAATAAATAATACCTCATCCTGCATTGCGATGGGCAGAGTAAATTGTTGAAAGAAGTGTTCCTTTGCATAAGTAAGAAATGTCCAGTGAAGTGTGTTCATAGAATCGTAGAATCAAAGAATTGGAAGAGACCTCCTGGGCCATCATCCAGTCCAACCCCATTGTGCCAAGAAGCAGGAATATTGCATTCAAATCACCCCTGACAGATGGCCATCCAGCCTCTGCTTAAAAGCTTCCAAAGAAGGAGCCTCCACCACACTCCGGGGCAGAGAGTTCCACTGCTGAACGGCTCTCACAGTCAGGAAGTTCTTCCTCGTGTTCAGATGGAATCTCCTTCCTTGCAGTTTGAAGCCATTGTTCCATTGCGTCCTAGTCTCCAGGGAAGCAGAAAGGAAGCTCCCTCCCTCCTCCTCCGTGGTTTCCTCTCAGAGAAGAGATATGGCTATCATATCTCCTCTCAGCCTTCTCTTCTTCAGGCTAAACATGCCCAGCTCCTCAAGCCGCTCCTCATAGGGCTTGTTCTCCAGACTCTTGATCATTTGAGTCTTCCTATTTCTCTGGACACATTCCAGCTTAGAGTCAATCTCTCTCTTCAATTGTGGTGCCCAGAATTGGACGCAATATTCCAGATGTGGTCTAACCAAAGCGGAATAGAGCAAGGGGAGCATTACTTCCCTAGATCTAGGCACTAGGCTCCTGTTGATGCAGGCCAAAATCCCATTGGCTTTTTTTGCTGCCGTTCTGTCTGCCTCTTGCGCACTCAGCACACCTCTGAACTGTCAAGGGAAGGCAGTTTGGCCAAGCTTCAACTCCTGTGGCTCAATACTATAGAATCCTTGGAGTTACAATTTGGTGAAGCAACCCAGCACTCTTTGGCAGAGAAGCTCCAGAACAGCAGCTCTCATGACAGTTAAAGGTTCTCTGTCATTTCATGAATAATTACAAACACTTACTCTGTTCTGGCATTTCTTTTCCCAACTGCCACATGTTTTAGCAGTTGCACCTAAGATAATTCAATTGCAGGAGGTAGGTTAGCAGAAGTGGGTCCTCGGGTTCTGCATTCAAGTGGTAGATGGTATTCCTAAAGAAAATCCTGGGATGCCCCTTCAAATTTGTATTTTGGAGATCATGGTGTCACCTGAATTTGTTTTTCATGCCCCAAGTTAGAGCAGCCAGCCAGTTAAACTTTATTTGTAATTGCTCCTCTCTCCTCTCAGAGCTTTTGCCCTGCGATGACCCCTGAACCTGGTAGCAACAACAGCACGACCACCAACCGTGTCCCCGGCGGGTCTTCCGAGAAGAGAGTGAGCGTGAGGGCAGGTGTGGGAGCCATGGCCCTTGACGCCGTGAGGGAGCTGCTGAGCATCGACCGGGACTTGCTGGTGTCTTACCAGGTGGACAAGAATCAGCAGCTGGAGTCGATCAGCTTCCAGACCCCGCTCATGAGGAACGTCTTCCTGAATCACCCGGAGGTTGTGCTGATTCACCGCACGCACAGCCCCTGGGGCAAAGCCCTCTACGTGTTCATCGTGGACAAGGCCTTCCTGAAGCTGGAGGGAGAAATGACCAAAGTGATCCACTTTGCGATCCCCATCAAGGAGTCGGCCAAAGGGCTGGCTCAGATGTGCCGCACCTTCAAGGCCTTCAACCCGGAGTGGAAGCAGGTCAAGACTTTCCTGGTGGATCCGCGATTCCGGTTGGCGCCGACCCTGTTGGAGGCCTTCCCCTCGGCCGACGTCCAGCTGTCCGTCTTCCATATTTGCAAGCACTTCCAGCACAAGATCCACCAGGTCCCCCTGGAGTTCCACACGGAGAGGCTGATCCTGAGCGCCCTGCGGAATGCAATGTGTGCCCCCAGCAGGAGCAACCTGGGGAAGATGCACACCATCCTGAGTGACTTTGTCAAGCCCAACCTCTTGCCCCAGATTCACAGAGACTGGCTGCTCAACGACAAGATCTGGGCCTTCCACCGCTGGAGGACTTGGCGAGAGTGCAGCCAGTATTTCAAAGACCTGGAGGTGGTCACGCGCAGCCTGAGCCAGGTCTTCTGCATGGGGCCTTCCCTGGAGACCTGCGTCGTCAGCATCGCCAGGAGTTACCACAAGAGCGTCCTGGGGAGATCCACAGAGGCTGCCCCCAGCCCAGCCCCCCGGCTCAGTCAGAACGGCTCTCCCAATCACTCCCTGCTTCCCCAGGACTCTCCTCCCGCAACACAGCAGGAAGGTACTGCAAGGGCCAATGGAACTCTCTCTCCGGACGACGCAGCTAGCAAGCACGAGGCGGCAGACTTGGCCCTCAGGCGGTCCTTGGCAGACATCTGCACCGAGTCGGCAGCCAGGCTGTGCTTGAATGAGCTTGCGGTGGTCCAGAGCTCTGTGCAGCTGATGGGGACTGATGAGGACGTGGTGAACATCCAGATCCTGGAAGACACCCAGGTGGTGCGCCACCAGCGCCTGAGCTCCTCCTGCGCTTGCCACTTCAGCCAACGGTTCCAGCTGCCTTGCAGGCACATCCTGGCCATGCTGAACTCGGAAGGGAAGGACCTGGAGCCCGAGTGGGTCCCTGCTCAGTGGCGCAAAGGGCACGCGGCTTCCCAGCAGGAAGAGAACGGCACAGAGGGGCTCCTGGAAGTCGTCGGGAGTTCGTGGGACGGGCTGCTGGACAAGTACCTGGCCGTGTCGTTCCTGACTGCAGAGATCAGCAGACTGTTGGGCCAGTGCAGCCAGGAGGAGTTTGACCGCAGGTACAGCACCCTCCGTGAGCTGGCCGACAGCTGGATTGGACCTTATGTGCAGGTGAAGTTATAGCAGAGGCCCAGGCCAGGGAGGGGGCCCTTCTGCCCTAGTTCTTCCCCATAAGGGGGTGCGTCCCAGCCAGTGGGGTCCCATAGACGCGCCAGAAAGGGGCCGGGAAGAGTTGTGGCACCCCCGACCCCCTTCTTTGTTGAGAGTGCTGTAGGGGGCACGTGGCTGCAGGGAGTGCCTGCCCTTAACTGCTGCCAATGGGTTTGGGTGCTCTGCGGCCTGAGCTCAAGCTCTCTCTGCACAGTAAGGCCAGCAGAGTTGGTGCACCTTAGTTCCTTTCAATGGAGAGAGCGGCCTGGCACCCCTGTGTCATTCCCTTTCCACTGACTCCCTCATCCCTTTCTGTTATTATTGAAGTGGAAGCCGCCTTCCAACATACACAATGACTTTTTCTCCCGTTGGCTCTTAATAAATGGGTCTTCTTTGTTTGACACCCTCGATACGCAAGCCTTGAATTGTTGTTGCACTGTAAAGCAGAGAACAGGGTGGAGTGGCTTTTAGAACCATGTGCAGGAGCAGTGTGGCAGGCTCATGGCAGGGCCAGCTGAAGCAAGGCATGGCATGGAGCCAGATACCAAGCTAAACCTGTGGGATAAGGGGCAGGTGCGTATGTGCATGTGCGGGGGCTCTGCTTCCGGCTGAGGTTAATGCTGCAGCTGCCTATAGGGATTTATCGTGGGGACAGAGCAGGGCCATATACTTTGTATCCTCTGCCAAAGCGCATGACTGTGTGACCCTTATGGAGTTGCAAGAATGGACCTGGCCTTCTGCCAACTGTTTTGTAAGAGTGGGCGCACCTGGCCAATGGCCTGGCCACAGAAACAGGGCAACGGGAAAGAAGAGAGAAGCCCCTCCTCATATTTGGAAAGCCTTTATGTTTCTCCATACACAGCGAAGAAGAAGAGCCTCTTGCTGGCCCTCGCCGTTTCTACTTCTCTAGCTGTGCTAGAAAGAGCGGGAGGAGTCCCCGGTGGGCGGCGGCGGTGGCCCTTTTCCTCTGCCTCTCCCTCTTGCCGGGGGCCCCCAAGCGCGGTAGGGCAGGCCAGGGCCGCCTCTGGCCCCCGTCCTCGGGCTCCCGGTGCTCTGCCATGAAGCACTGCGCCGCCTGGATCATGTCTTCCTCGCGGACGCCGGGGACAGGGACGGTGGGGATGCCCGCGATCATCATGGCCAGAGTGAGGATGCAGACGTTGGGGGGCAGCCGCAGGGCTGGCGGGGCCCCCCTCTCCTTGCCGAGTGTGGCTGGCATCACAAAGAGCCCTCTGGGCAAGAGGCCCCACCTGGCCGGAGCAAAGTCCCCGCCCGAGCTGGCGCAGCGATGGTCCTTGGTGGCCTGGCCGGGGGGCAAGCACAGCCACCAGTCCCCCGCTTGCTCCATGGGCGGCCGGTGGCACTCCTGGGTTGGCGGGCCCTGCGGGGGGGCCCTGGCACACAGGCCGAGCAAGTGGCGAGGCTCCCAGGGCCCATTGGGAGGGCCTGCTGGGCCTCCCCCACAAGGTGGGCCTGGGCCTGGTTCCAGGGGCAGCTGGGTGGCGCTGAGGGGGAGCGGGGCTTCCCGCTTGGCTTGCAGCTTCCTTCGCAAGAGGCCCGTCACGGAGGAGATCCTGGCCGGAGCAGGCCCTTCCCTGGCCCCCTCTGGGCAGAGGCTTGGCTGGCTGCTGGGGGCCACTGGGCTCTCTCGTCTGCTGCTGCTGCTGCTGCTGCTGCTGCGTTCCCCTGCATAAAGGCAAGGCAGGGTTAGAGCATCAGCTGGAGCATGGACTCCTGAAGGTGGAAGGAATCCCCAGGGGTCACCCAGCCCACCCCCTTCTGCCAGGCTGGAGGATACAGCAGGAACCGTCCTGACAGGTGGCCAAGCAGCTTACATTTCAACATCTTCAGAGTAGGAGTCTCCCCCACTGTTTTTCCCTAGTAAGCCAGAGATAGAGTGTGCAGCATGGCTCAGAGGACATGCAGGGAGATGGACTAGAGCAGGGCCTGGCCCTTAGACCAGGGTGTGGGGCCCTTCTGTCCCTCAGGAGCCATTGCGCACACACTTTGGGACTTTTTTGCTCTGCAGGGAGCCATGCTGCCACTGGAGGGAGCTGCATCCACTCATCTCAATACCTTTGGCTCCCTCCTTCTCACCGCCTTCCTCGGCTGCTGTCCTGCCCTCTGCTCTGCGGGGAGAGGAGAGGAGGGGAGGAGAGGAAGCCAGGCGGGAGCAACCCACCCTGCTGCCAACAGCCACTGACCCCTGGATGACTGCAAGGCATCTCTTTTGGGAAGTGGGGAGAATGAATGGCCAGGCATAAAGGAGGAGCGCTTGTACCTTTGGGTTTCTGCCCCACGGGGGACATCAAGGCAGGATGGCCTTAGTCAGAAATCGTTTCCCACTGAGATGTAGGGCAGTTGGCAGGGAAGCAAGGGGTGGCGGGGGCAAAAGTAAGGTGGGGCCCCT